AACACCACAGATGGGAGATGAGGACCCATTGGCAAGTGTAACAGTTTGTGATGTGGAGGTTTCAGAAAGAGAAGAGAACACACCTGGAGTCTCGGTCATATGATCTGAGGCTCCAGAGTCAATAATCCAGGGAGAGATTTTAGATGACATGCAAGCAATACCTGAATGGGCAAGTGTGGTAGTGGTATGCTGTGAAGTAATTTGAAGGAACCGTTCATACTCATCACACGGTACACTCACCATCTCCCTCCCACAAGTAGATGCAGATGTGGGAGGAGTTCGGTCTGCCTAAGAATGACATGGATTTAGTCGATGGTTTCTCATCTTTTATGTGCTTCAMTTTCCTCTTTGCCTTGAGAAAAACTTCCACAGATTTAGCCCATGGAACATAATTCTCCCCATTTAGTTTAATTGAGGTCATCTGTACACCTAGGTAGTCAGAGGAAACCACCACACTAGGTTTCTGATCATTATACCCATCTCCTATTGCTGCCATTGTACTCTTTCATAGTTGCCTCTAACCTGAATTCTCAGCAACAAGCTGACTGTTGTTATTCAAAAATTTGATGTTCTAGCACCTATAGCAACTCCTAAACACAACAGTGGGTACACACGCCTTGTTCTTATTCACACTACTGCTGATTTCACAACACCACTGGCCACATATGCATCAATTTAACACTCACTAATCACATGTAAGCCCTCTTACATCCACTCAATAGGGATTGTGCAACACAAGCACCACAACATAGTTAAACCTGTTACACCCAATTCAGACTAGTTTAGCAGTTTTAAGAGAGCACTACACACCCACAAAAAAAACTCGGCTAGGTCACAGCATTACACCTTACACCACTTGGCCACTTACAGCAGCCCTAACACCACTCAACAACTTACAGCAACCCCTACACCATTCGGCTACTGCACAGACAACCCTTTCTAGGGCAACAATGAACCTACTTCTCTATGTTCTGATCAATACTAACAACTTCTTTAGGTTTTCTACCCAGAAATATCAGCAACACAAGAAGAAGAGATAACCGACCTTCCTTTGAGAATATCAACCAACCATTCACTGCTAAAGTCACTTTTTTTTATGAAGAAGGTTACGCGCAACAGAGAGAGACGACCTGTGATGTTTCAGACCTAGGGTGAACCAGTTCTCTCCATTGACTGACCAGAAACGAAGGAGGGGAGTCACGAACACTGCTGAGGTGCTTTACCAACTGAAGTAGGTCAGGAGCATGGCTCTGATACCATGTTTCGAATGCTGCTATAGTAGTCCGAATCAGGAAGAGAAGGAAGAAGAAGAGGAAGAAGAAGAAAGAAAATAAGGGTCTGTTGAAATCTGATGGATTACACATACAGTTGACCCCCTTAATCTTCATTAGATTCTAATGATCTTTACAAAGACAAAAATGCCCTTACTTAAGTGGGGTAGGGTGACTCTAATAACACTGCCACATAAGCAAGCTACTTAACAAGCATAAGAAGACTAAACTACCCCTATTCGGCACACTTAACATGAGCAAAATACGGCAGTTGGAAAATGGCATTGAGGATAACATCATTAAGAATGCTCCATGGGACCGAGATTCAATAAGAATGTCTTACTTGGCAAATTGTAGACAATGAATACATTCAACAAATAAGGGTGTTCTGTTAATTGTACCGTACATAATAACAAAGTGAAAATTCCCATTTAGTAACCTATACTTTTGGGCCTAGTGTTATTTTGGTTCTTGGAAGGAGTGCAAATACAAATATATAGAATGTAAAACCTTGAACTTTACAAACCATCCAAATTTATAAAAAAATTAATTCTCAAATCTTTGCCTCTTCTATTCAAGAAAGTTTGAGTCACCAGAATGTCCATAAGGATTTGAGACTGTTAATTTTTTTGTCAACGTTTGAATTGTTTATAAAGAAAATTATATGACACTTAAAGGGCATTTATGTCTTTTTCAAATGCCACTTAACGGCTAGTTGATATCTAGTTAACGATAGGTACTAGGTTGACATGTTTTGAAAGCTTGGATACTAAATTATTGTATTTTAATATTTCGGGACCAAAATGACATAGACCCAAAGTACATGTACTAATTGGGAAATTTCCCTTTATAATATCATGTTTTTCTGAGAGATCACATCTGCACCCCACAACGTCCCACAACACATCCCGACCATGTATTGGAAACATCTAATAATGTATCAGAAATGATGAATTGATTATGTCATCATAGGAGATGTTCCCAATACACAGTGGGAATGTGCTATGGGACGTTATGGGGTACAGATCTGAACTCTCTTTTGGGTATTAGAGTTAAATGGTTAATATAATTTTTTGGGTCAATCACTTGAATATACCATTGGTATAGCTAATATACTCAAGTACAATGTTTTTTGAACTTTTGTTGACTCAAACACTCAAATCGTCTGACCCAGGAACCATTCAAGCAAATGGTTCTATTTCACCCTTAATCCATTCTTTGACCAAAACTATTGACTTAGATTGCTGACCAAGCAGTCAAACCATTGACCCGTTTGACCCCACCAGTAGTTTTGGATGTTTTAATTTAATTATTTTGACATTTTTATTATTTTAATTTGAAACGAAACATCCATTCAAACCATATGATCAAACCGCTGACCAAAAACCTATGACCAAAGTGGTTCCAGTTTCATGTTAATTTTTAAAACATTGCTCAAGTATACCTTGTAGTTTGCAAAACCACTTGAATATATCCTATAAAATGGCATCACATGACACAAATAGGTCATCTTTTAACATTTAAGGTACATGCCCATTAGTCTTTTTATATCCCAATTTTACTTCTCTTCTTCTTTTCTTCTTGTTCTTTTTATTATTTGTAGAGGCAGAACGGAACCAATCCGACCTGTCTCCAAACCTAGCATCAACCGATCTATATATCAATGGTGTGTTTT